ACTGGTCTTGTTGTTGTTGTAGAAGTTTGGTCAACTAAATGGAAAGTGAAGTTGGTATTTGAATCGAAAATCATTGCAACAACAAATCCTTTCTCAGAATCTTTCGAAGAAGCAACACCTCCACATCCTCTATCTCCTCTTTATGAAATATCCACAATACACGGAACATTAGTTGGTAATCAAAGAACCAACTCAATGATGGGAGCAAGATCTTCTTTGATATTAGTCTTAGTGGTGAAAATCAATTGAGGAATTGAATCCTAGGAAAGTAATGATTGATTCGAAAGATCAACTTTTGAAATAGACTCCTTAATACACGATAAGAATTCTTCCAGCTTTGTGAACACCTGATAACCCTTCTCCAACTTGCCATCAACCTTGTATGAATAGTTAGTATTAAGATCAACCAACTTTGTGATAGCATTTGCAACAACATTAACTTTGCTATGCAACAAAGTGTAATTTTCCTCCATCATTTCAACATCTTTGGCAATCTCGGACTTGAGTTCAACCACCTTATGATCCACAGACTCTTTCAACTTCGTCACTTGTTCAACAAAAGTATCATGATGCTCCTTTTCAACATCACTAAGCTTCTGAATTTCATAATAAAAGCTTTTGGAATGAACAACGAACCATTCAATTTGTTTCGGTTCAATACTCTCAACCAAGCTTCAAAAACGATTCTCCTAAGATTTCAATAGATATTCCATCTCTACCCCATTAACGAAATTCCTTCCCCTAGTATCTTCTTGTAAATGAATAAGAGAGTCGATTTTGTGGTTGAGGATTTGAATCGTGTACCTATGATGTGCATGTTTTTAGGTATGTTATCCTTGTAGAGGTCAAAATATGTTGTGAAATGTCGAATCATCTTTTTGTATGTTTAGTATTGACGTCAGTTGACTTGTATTCGTTGTATGTATTTCATAACGGTACTTTTAGAGGTCGAAGAATTAATCTCTATTCCCTTATGTGCATTTTTTTTTTACTTCTGGTGTTCCTATAAATAGGGATAGATGTAAGGGTTAGAGTAAGTTTTGGGCATTCATTGTACTTTACCCTTTCACTCTTTGTATTCTTTCAGAAGTATCAACTGAGCTAAATAGATTATATTCACATCTGGTGTTCCTTATTCAATTCAAAATCTGATTTCATTTCATTTACATGATTCATATGAACTACATTTGGTATCGGAGCAGGATTCCTTCAATTAATTTCTGATTTTCTCATTGTTTCAAAAGTTTTTGAATCGCTGTTTTAGATTCAAAAATATTTCGCACTTATGAATTAGAAAGTCTTTTTTGATTAATTGTTTTGATATGATTTTGATTTTCATTTAATAAATCGAGTGTTTGTCGATTGTTTACTAAGAGATAAACTCATTACATTCTTCTTTATGAAGCTTTTCATCATTTGTTTCCTTAAGTTAATGGCGAAGTTCAACATGAACAAGATGACTGGTTTTTCTCATCTTCTTGGTTCTTAAACAAAAATTCCAATGTTGATTCCTGAATACTATGAGAAATGGGCCGACATAATAGAAGATTATCAAAATGGGATCGATAAAGATCTGTTGCGTTGCATAACAAGTGGAGATGATCGTCCAGGGAGGCTTAAACAGATTGAAACTGCTGGTTGATCTGCTGATGTTACACTCGAAGCAGAGAAAAAAAACAACAAGAAATGCTTGCATGAAGTTCGTTGTCCTCTTCCACCGGTGGTTTACACTTATGTTTGTGGTTGCAGAACAACAAAGGAGATCTAGGATACTTTGAAAGATAACAATCAAGGAAATGAGAAGACTAGAAAAAGTTTTGTTATGCAATGTCTACCTAAATTAGGTGAATTCAAATAAAAGGAGAATGAGACCATTGGAATGTATTATGATCATCTGAATATATTAATCTTAAAGTCCAGTTGTTATGGCGTTAATCATTCGAATTTGGAGTACACTCTAACATTATTGATGGGACTTCAAAATGAGTGGAGGAACATTAGTTTAATGATCAAAACACAACAAAGCTTCAACACCTACTCTCTCAGTGATCTATATAATGTTCTGAAAGCCCATGAAAGTGATATTAACGAAATTGTTGAAGAAGGAAAACTAAGTTTCGGCAGTCCACTTGCTTTGGTTTTGGAATTTTCTGGAAAAGAGACTGTAGTAGAATCTGCTGATGTTAATCGTTCTGATGATGAAGGTTTTCTCATCAACTCAGGTGATGAAGTTGTGACGTATTACTCGAATAACGAAGTCAATAAGTTTTTTAAGAATCCATTCAACTTGAAGTTTAATGGAATTGATTTCAAGGGAAACTCATCTGGGAAGAAGGTGAGAGAAGACTCGAAGGTCGAGAAAAAAGAGGTTAAGGTTACTGGTAAAAAGGTGGAGAAGAAATTGAAAGGTGACTCTGGTTTCAATTGCAACTATTGTGATAATGTGAATCACTTGGCAATCGAATGCATTTTGAGGAAAAAAGAGAAGAAGGATATAGTGAAGGATGAAGCCCATTATGTTGAAAGGCTAGAAGAAGTGAGAGCTAAGAAGAAGGAGATGTCTTGCAAAAGGAAGTGACGAAGGGTATGGAACTGACCAAATATAGTCATTTGGATCATATGATGGAGAGATTAGGAACCCCATACATGGATTCATATATGCAAGGTATGAAGAGGGAAATGAGGATGAGGAGAAGGTGATAGGGAAGTATTTTGTTTCTACTGGTGCTAAAAACTCTCCAATAACATCGAACGTACGTTCTCTTCTCACATCTTTTAATATTCCTTTCATTTTATATGATGCAATTTTTTGACTTTGATGATACTTTATCTTACGTTAATGACATGCTTATTTCTATTAGTAGTGATGTTGAGAAATCAAAGTCTTTACTGCTAGAAACAAATAAAATTTTGGAGTCCAAGAGATGTAGAATAGAAAATCTTGAAATGCAGCTGGAGAATGCTACTTATGATAAGGATAATATTATAATGGATAACTATATTCTAATGAAGTAACCTAACATCTATTCTAGTTCAGCTAAAATATTGTAGGCTAAACTAACTGATTTGCATCACTCATCTGACATCAGTAAGGAACATCATAGGAAACTATTTCCCTTTCTAGCTTTTGAAATGGAGAAAATAGATTCGACATCCTATGACTGTGACAAAAAGTTTTAGGAATTTAACAAAGTCCCAAATGATTCATATGCGTATGGTATTTGTAAGATAGATGAATGTTTAGATGCTGATGATTTGGTACACATTGTAAATGACACCTCGACCAGGACTGAACAAATAAAATTTTTGAAAAAGATTGAGATTCGACTTCTTACTCTCAACACAACTTTGATAATATCGAAGATGATTGTGAGAATGTCAGTTAAATTCAGGCAGAGGAAGTTGTTGATTGTCCTCAATTATTTGTCATTAATGTCACTTCGATAAACAAGGAAAAGACAATTGTGATAATTCTTTGGTTAAGATTAACACCGACCAACCCTCTACATTGAAAGATCATAACTATGGCCATGCGATTGTTGTAAATAGTCAAACTAATAGTGATGATAATGAACAAGATGTTCCAACTGAGATAACTATTCCCCGATATGTTGCTGATCAAGTTTATGAGGAAACTGAGAAGTTCAAAAAAGTGATGAACAAAAAAGATCCTCATTATCTCGAATCGAACTCCATTGTTTATCCAAGTTTCAAATGCACCGATGATGTGGTGTTTCCCAATTAGGTGTTTGTCACTATAGGAAATTCCAATAAAGTGAAACCTGAGATCAAAACAATTGTTGTTGAAGATAAAAAAAGTAGTTTCGAAAGAACGGTTGTTCTGAAACCAAAGCACGGTTGAAAAGAATCTTAACAAGAACTAATCCACTTTTCAAAGGCAAAAAACAAAAAGAACTTGGGAAGTTAAGAAAGACAAAGAAAATGATAACAAACAAACAAACGAACCAGTTTCTTAAAATCAAAACACTAAAGCTCAAATTTTCAATCATGAAATTCAAAAAATTTCTAAAGAAGAAGGTATTTCGATGTCAAATGCTCGAAACAAGGTTTATTTTAAAAATATCACGTCTTTCGTCACACCTCAAAACCGAAGCGGCGGAAACGTTCAAGGGTCGAGGAAATCATGTTTAGTATCACAAGACATGCATCATTGTAATCAAAGTAATAAACAACCATTTCATTAGAAAGAAAGTGTTTACAATGTGTGTGTTCACAAAACATAGAATACATATGTAAATAACAAAACAAGACTTGGAGCTATTATGCTCCATCTTCTGAATTCAGAGCGCAAGTACCTGTCTACTAGTTTCCCGAGAATACAAGTTATTTTGAAAGAGTTGATCAGAAATTAAGCTGGTGAGTTCATAAGATTTTATTGATGTAAGTAAGTTGTAGAAAGCTTAGTAAGTTGTAGTAAGTTGTAAGTTTTTTTTTGTTTTGAAAAGTTCGCTTGTTCCACCAGAAAATCCTATATTTCCTGTTTTGATGAAGGATAAGTAAAAATGAATCTGCAATCCTTTCTATGAGTACTAAATGAATATGAGTTATATAAAACTCAGAGTAAACAAACAATCGATTGTGCTTATCTACCCTAAGCCCACAACCAAACAAGGAACAAGAAATGAGGTGGATGGCACGCATCCTATTGGATGTTAAATCATTGTTGTATATAACCCTGGTGTATTTACTTGGTACTCATGTAGTTAATTGCAATAGTTCCTTTATATTTGATGAAAAGATCCTTTAAAAAAAACATATTTCTTTTAGTAAAAATGGTAACCACATTGGTTCCTCCTATAATCTCTTAGGTCATACTAGCTATATATAATCTAATATCAAATAGATAGTTAATTGCGTGAATCTTCCCTAAGCCCACAATCAAACAAGGAACAGGAAATAAGGCGGAAGACACACATCTAACTATCTATCGGGTATTAATCTAATATCACCTAAGGTCCTTTAAGTTATACTGGGTTAATAAAATGGATTAAACCGTTTACTGGTAGGTTTCTAGTTTTGTATACCAAATGATCTATTTGAAAAGTATGTTTTGTACTAGAAAAATGTGCATTGAATTAGTGTCCTATGACCTTATCCATACCTGGTACCACTTATGATGATTTAATATATACGGAACATATATATAACTAAGATCGAATGGATAATAGGCTGGGTGAATCCGCTCTAAGCCCACAACTAAGCAAGGAACAGGAAATGAAGAGGAAAGCACACATCCTATTATCTGTCAGATCCTATTAATATATATCCCTTGATGTATACATTAAAGAATCATAAGGTTAGCATTATGGTCCCTTTCTAATGAATGTACTAGACCCGGTTGTTCTGTTTGTTGTTTGAAAATACGTAAGTTTCCCTAGTTTATAACTATCTTGTCTTGAAAATAGTTTGCATTAACTTTCAAGTGGAACTATCACTTTATGAAAGTAATGGGAAAATGAAAGTACTCAGTTGTCTTTTCAACTAATATCCTAACAAACTGATTACCTTTTGTTTAACTATCACCTTTTGTTTAGAACCATGAGTTAGTGATTCACCTTTAGTTGTTCCATGCTATAGCATCTTAGTATGTTTGTTCTGTTATAGTATCTTAGTATAAACTGAACCTCTAAACTATACCCCTTAGAGTTTACTAGTATTTTACTTGAACTGTTAGTGAAAAGACTCATTTTACTACGAAGTTATGCTTGTACTTTAAAAATGGAGTTTTGTTAAACTAAAAAGTAACATAAGTTTCAAAGAGTTTTTGAAATGTTTTGATCACTTATAAAGGACAAAACAGTCATTTGAAAGTGTTATCCAAAGGTAGGGAGGCTTGTGGGATGATTGGTCTGT